AAGAACAAAGGCCAAATGGATCTAAGTTGCAGGGAAGCAGATTTCAGCTTAGTATAAAATAACTAAGAACTAGAGCTGAGCATTAGCAGAATGTGCTTACTCACTAACCTGAAAAGTTTGAATCGAAGCCGACTGATCATCCCCTGAAGTGTTCCTTCATTTGTTCATTTACTCAAGAATGAATAAATTTATCCCTTCAACCATTTTGTATACTGACTTTCTATGTGTCAGGCACTGCTCTTAAAGCTCTACTGTATTAAATCAGTGAGATCTCAGAACAGCTTTATGAAGTAGGTACTTTACCTTATGAAGTAGGTACTTTACAGATGAGAAAACCAAGGCACAGAGGGGCTAAACACCTGTTTAACACCTCACAGGATGTGTAAGAAGGAGAGCCGGGCTGTAAGCACAGACAGGCTGGCTCTAGCCAGTTCTCAGCCTGACCAACACACTAGACTGCTTTTCTAACAGTGCTGAGCTTAATGTTGTAGATGTGTGACTCTCACTGGGTGGGAGGTTGGACTAGATAAGACCTCTTTCAACTGTCTGAAGATTCCATGGTCACATTTATTGAGCTCTGGCTGTGTTGGAGAGAATTTGTAGTAATTATGGTAAGAATAACAACTGTTTTTGAGTACCTCCTGTGTTCTTTATGTAAACCCCTGGTCCTTAAGCCCAGCTTCTTATCTTGGGTTGCACAAAAGAATTACCTAGGGAGTAAGAGCCTGAGAATGATATGCTATGAAAGTCGTCCAGGTAATGTGAAAGTGCCGCCGGTGTTGAGAACTCTCGGTATAAAAGATCTCATTTAATACTTATAATGACTCTGCCAGACAACCTTATTTATCACCTTCATTTTACATATAAATGGACTAAGAGTTAAGGGATGCTAACGACTTGGCCCTTGCCCAAGCTAACCCCTCTCCTCCGCCAAACTTGGATGTGAACCCAAGCCATTCTGGCTCCAGGGCCTCAGCAATTTACAGTACAACCTCCCAGTTCCTTGATTCTAAACAACCCCAACCTAACCAACCAACCAACCAAATGAATAAAAATCACCTTATTCCATCTCACCAGTTACACTGCCAATCTCTACATCAGGAGCCCCTCCTACCTTACCTGCTCAGGTACCTTTCACAGGTTCGTCAGCCCCCCTTTCTGAACCAGAAGAGCTGAGAAAAGATCTCAGTATTTTTTGTATAGCAGTGCTAGTTCAGAACACTGGGAAACTTCCTTGGGTTCCAGTATTTTCTTCCATACTGCACACAACCTGATAGTAACTGTGTTTGTGATATTAAAGTTTATTGCATGGTCATATTAGCCACTTGAGGAATATATTGCTTATAATATAGTGTGGGATAAAGAGTACACTTTTTTTTTTTAAATTTCTTTTCAGTGTAACAGTATTCATTGTTTTTGCACCACACCCAGTGCTCCATGCAATACGTGCCCTCCCCAATACCCACCACCTGGTTACACTTTTGTCTTGACACCAGTTTACCTTTGGTTGTGGCTTAAACCCTTTGTTTACAGACCGGCATTACCATAATGGTTACTGTATTTGTTACCATAATTGTTTACTGTAACTGTTTCTTATTCACTTCTGGAAACAGAACAACTCCTGGCCTACAGTCAACAAGAAAACAGGGACTTTGGTCCTACAACCACATGGAACTGAATTCTGCCAATAATCTAAATAAGCCTAGAAATAGATTTTTCCTCAGAGCCGGCAGAAATGAAAGTAGCTCTGCCAACACGTTGTTTTGACCTCGTGAAACTCAAGAGAACCCACGGAGTGTGCCTGGATTTCTGACCCAAAAAAGTGTGAGAGAAGAAATGGGTGTTATCTTAGGTTGTGAAATTTGTATGCTGGCAATAGAAAATAAAGCAATAACTGTTTATAGACTGAAGTGTTACTGAAATTTGCAGACGGACAGTTATCTCTCAGTTCTTAACTGATCAACAGCCACAGGATATCCATTTACTTTGGTTGGCAAACCCAGAGCCTGCTCTGCTCCGCTTATTTAGGGCCTGCGACACGGCAACCGAGAGAATAGTTTATTTTCTTTCCAATAGTTTACATGTTGATTTTTATCAAGGAAACCCTTAGCTATAGTTGCTCTCCAGGCAGGACTTTCAGACCATCCTTGTTCTGGTCAGCCCCGTATCTGGATCAGTGGTTTAGAAAAGCTTATTCTGAGACTATATTCCAAGAGAATTGTCAATTTCTTCTTCCTAGATTGTAAAGTATTTAAGGTCAAGGGCTCACTGTTGCTCTTTTTTGTGTCTTCAGCAATGCCTAGTGTAATACCATTTGATATAAGTGGGCTCAGTAGTTTTAAGAATTGAGTTGGTAAATGTACGTTATAAAGAACCTTTACAGGGAGGGAACATATGGCATTTAGGTATGTTTGTAGCTCCCTAAAGACCGTTACCCACAGGGTGGGATAATGTGCAACCACGCTGCAGTAACTGATATTAGCTTGCAATATTGATCTTTAAAAATTATTTCATTGTTACAATTATTTAATTATTTTCAAATCCATGACTTGTATAAATGTAGAAAGCAAGTCTGTATATCCAAATTGGAAGGAAAAGGAAATGTCCTGGATGATAGAATTTGATTTTAAAGGATCTTGCTACTTAAGATTTTTTTATCATTTGATTCCTACACACTTCCCAATCCCAGTGGGCATATATTTTATAATCAGGTGAGAGGAAGGAAGGAAGGAAGGAAGGGAGTGAGGAAGAAAGAAGAAAGGGAGAACATTAAGAGAAAACACACACACACACACACACACACACACATACACTTTTTAAATGGTAAAACGTCATTTTGGTAACCCAGAAAAATGGCCCCAAAGTGCTAAACAAAATTTAGTAACATAAGTGTCATTTTAGGACCTATGTTTCCTAATAATAGCTTTTAAGAAAAACATTTGGGCCCTGTACTATTGTCCCCCATACCAAGGCAGGGCATCATCATGATGTCACTGCAAGAAAGCAGATGGAATGACCCCCAAGATACAGATGAAAGGAGGTGGTGTTCACACTGCCCTCTCCACCAACCATGTAGTGTGTATCCCATCTGCTTTCAGCATACTAGCCTTTCTTCACAGACCAGGAAAGGAAAATAATGCACTAGTTCAATTGATTCTCATAGCAGTCTTGTAAGTTGTTTTTACTTCACTCCTGTTTACAACTGAATTCATGGAAAGCTTATGTGGCAAAACTGAGATTCAAACCTGAATCGAACCACAGATCTGGGTCAAATAGAACTGTTGTTCTATTCTGTTTGCCAATCCTGCAGTAGAAGGAGGTGGAGGATATGTGGTGTTTAGCATAGAGAAGCCAAGACTTTTTTTTTTTAATTGTGTGAGTAACTGGTGTGTATTTGTTGAGAATAATAGTTACTATATTATAACATCTCAAACTCTCCTTTTTTTTTAAAAATTATTTTTATTAACATATAATGTATTATTTGCCCCAGGGGTACAGGTCTGTGAACCATCAGTCTTACACAATTCAGCACTCACCATAGCACATACCTTCCCCAATGTCCATAACCCAACCACCCTCTCCCTCACCCCACCCCCAGCAACCCTTGGTTTGTTTCATGAGATTAAGAGTCTCTTATGGTTTGTCTCCATCCCGATCCCATCTTGTTTCATTTTTTCCTTCTCTTCTCCCCACAAACCCCTGCCATGCCTCTTAAATTCCTCATATCAGAGAGATCATATGATAATTATCTTTTTCTGATTGACTTATTTCGCTCAGCATAATACCCTCTAGTTCCATACATGTCATTGCAAATGGCAAGATTTCATTTCTTTTCATGGCTGCATAGTATTCCATTGTATATATATACCGCCTCTTCTTGATCCATTCATCTATTGATGGACATCTAGGTTCTTTCCATAGTTTGGCTATTGTAGACTTTGCTGCTATAAATATTCAGGTGTATAGGCCCCTTTGGATCACTACATTTTTATCTTTAGGGTAAATACCCAGTAGTGTGATTGGTGGAGAAGCCAAGACTTATAAGGAGGATATAGCAGGTGCTTTCACAAAGACAAAGAGCTGCAATAGAGGGAGGACAGGGAAAATCACTTTCCTCCTTAAAACCTTTCAGTGGCTTTCAGTTGCCATAGAAATAAGTTGTAAACTCCCTAGCAAAAGCTTAGAGATGGTTCTATCATCTGCTACTGGCCTCCTTTTCACTGCCTGTTTCACTTTCATACTCACAACAGACTGCTTTCAGCCCTTCACAGACACAGCACTCACTCTCAAGTTCCCTCTGCCTAATACATTCTGTCTGTTCTAGGCCTGCCCAACCTCTACTCATCACCCTTGTCTCCAATACTTCTTCCTGAACTTGAGGATATGGGTTAGTCATCTTGCCAGACATGCCCACAGGACCCTATTCTTTCCTTTTTGTAGCACTTATTATATTTTAATTGATCATTTAATATCTATTTTTCTGAACAAACTCCACAAAGTTAGGAATCACGTTTCTAGTTCAGTACCATAATATAGTGTCTACTATAAGACTTGATAACATAGCAGGTACGCTGAACAAATATTTAAAAACTGAAATTAATTAGTAACACCAGAGGAGTTAAATGATGGAGTGATGAGAAGAGGAAATGGAGGGGATGAACCAAAGTAAGCATGGGAGGGGATTAACTTTAATGATGGAATATTTGAGAAAAGATAGACTGGAATGGCATTTCACTGCAGACTTCTGGAAAATCAGAGGGCATCACAGTAAGTTGGCCTAGAAAAAGGGACTGTCTGACTATATTCTGCCATTCTGCAGAGGTCTGTGCTGGTGGCTATACCTCCTGCCCGTTAAGTCACTTGGATACTATGCAAATATACAATTATCAACACACATGGTGTTTGGTGCTTGTAGAATTTGTTAGGGGAAAGATATCTGTAAATGATTTTTTTTTCACAGCTGTTCCCTTTCTCATCTCAATTTTGTGCTTACAGAGGAAATGAAGGAACCAGGGGATCAGGATACTGATGGGAGGAGATTGGATAAATCAAAGAGTGATGGGAAACGGTCTCTGAGCTCCTTGAAGTCTGCATCAAGATGTAAGTAAAGATTATAATATACACTTAGATTTTTATTATTAAATTTAGGAAAAATCACTTTTGAAGAGCATTTAAGTTTGTGCAGCAGAGATGGTTTACTTGTTTAACTCTGTTACTAAATTCTAAGTTTGTTAAGAGCAGAGACTGTGTTTTAACTATTTAATCTCCAGTTCCTGGCCCATAGACGTTACTGTCATCTCTATGTTGATAATGACCTCTTTGAAAATCTGGTCTTGCTCTCTCTTTGAAGTCTGCAGTCTTTAATTAACTTTTCTAATACAGTATAGTAGAAAGAATTGGGCTCTAGGTTTGAGGCCTGGGTCTACCACTTAGAGATGTTTGATCTGGGGTAGATTATTTCACCTCTTTGAGCCTCAAATTTACTCACCCATTAAGATGGTAATTGTGAGTTGTTTGAGGATTAAATTGGATAACAAGTGGAAGAATATACTGCAAATAGAACAGAAATATCCTGATACCAAAACCAGACAGATGCTACGAAAAAAGAAAACTACAGGCCAATATCCCTGATGAACATAAATGCAAAAATCCTTAACAACATGTTTGCAAAACACAGTCAATAATGGTGAAAGGATCATTCACCATGATCAAGTGGGATTTATTCTCAGGATACGAGGATGGTTCACTATTTGCAAATCAATCAATGTTATTTGATTGATTTAACAAAACAAAGGATAAAAATCATAAGAATATGTTAATAGATGCAGAAAAAGAATTTGACATCTAAAATCCAACATCCATTTACAATAAAAACTCTGAACACAGTATGTTTAAAGAGAACATACCTCGACATAATATGGGCCATATATGAAAAATCCATGGCTTAAAAACAGAAAAACAGAGCTTTTCCTCTAAGATCAGGAACAGGATGAGGATGTCCACTCTTGCCATTTTTGTTCAACATAGCACTGGAAGTCCTAGACACAGCAATCAGACAAGAAAAAGAAATAAAAGGCATCCATATTGTTAAGAAAGAAATCAAACTGTCACTATTCACAGGTAACATGATACTATACATAGAAAACCCTAAGGAATCCACAAAAAAATATTAGAAGTAAAAAATAAATTCAGTAAAGTTGCAGGATGCACAATTAATACCCAGAAATCAGTTGTTTTTCTCTACACTGTTAACAAAGTAGCAGAAAATGAAATTAAGAAAATAATCCCATTTACAATTACACCAAAAAGAATAAAATACCTAGGAATAAACTTAACTAAGAAGGTGAAAGACCTGTACTCTGAAAACTATAGAACATTGATGAAAGAAATTTCTAATGAATCCAATTTCTTTAATAAACAGAAAGTTGTTTATTTCTTCTTTTGTAAGTTTTGTAACTTTGTATGTTTCATAGAATTTGTACATTTATTTTAAATTATAAAATTGTTGATATAACTCTAGGATGTATTTTCATTCCTGATGTTGGAGATTTGTATTGTCTCTCTCTTTGTTCTTGATTGGTCTAGCTGGGAGTTTCTCCATTTGGCCAATCTTGTCAAAGAATAGGATTTTGTTTTTGCTCATTTTCTCTATTGTTTATTTGCCTTTTATTTAATTGATCCTTGCTTTCATTTTTGTTATTTCTATTATTTCTTTTTATTTTCTTTTTCCTTTTTCTAGATTCTTGAGGTAGAGCTTTAGGTGTTTGAGTTTTGACTTTTCTTCTTCTAAGTGTACAAAACTAGAAATTTCCCTCTAAGCATTGCCTTAGTTGCATCCCACAAATTTTGACATGTTATATTTTAATTATCAGTTAGTTTGAAATATTTTTAAGTTTCCTTATTGATTTCTCCTTGACCCATACATTATTTTTAAATGTTCTTTGATTTCCAAATATTTGTAGGTTTTCCAGATATCTTACCATAGTTTTTTAAAAATTTACTTCTGTTGTGATAAAAAAATATTAGCTACTTTGGAAATAAGGAAATGTTTAATTCAAAATGTAGGAATTATTAAAACAAATTACTTTTAATAGTTGCTGTGAGAGAGGATGCCACAGATGAAACATTTGTTGAAGGGGGAGAATCATATTTAGAGGATGATGATTATGATACGGAACGTTTGGAAGGAAGTTCAGGTTCATTTCACTATGACTATGTGGATAACATTGGAGGTAAGAAAGTATTGTTAGTTTTCTCACAGTAATAGTAACTGTTTTAAAGACAAATTGCCCAAACTGAACAGTTAAAAATTCATAGAAATAAAAACTTGCAGGGTATGTCGGGTGATAAAAGGAAAAGCATGGAACATGCTTTAGCAGGGTGATTTAGAGGCTTTGGAGCTGTATATTACATTTCTGAGGATCACATACCAAACTCTCATACTTGGTTTCCTGGGAACTAGATGGACTAAGGACTGTTCGCCCCCAGATTAGTGAATTCTCACTCTGACTTGGAACTGATTAGGAGTTGCTCTTTGAGACTACAGAAACCATGACCAGAGCTCTGCGTTCACCCTGATGCACACAGGCATGTCGGCTCTTCCTCCCATGCTCATTGGTGGGTGGCATCTCACGTTCAGGCCACTGGTGGTACTTACTGCTGGAATATTACGGGCTAGGTACCTGCTGCCTGTCTTTGTGAAATGCAATTTTAGGATTCACCAGATGCTGTTCTTTAAAATCTTTTAATTTTTTAGACTCTCAATATGTGGAAGCCCTTGCTCCAGGCTCCGAAGAGGTGGAGGAAGAAGTTAAGAAGAAAATCTCAGAGAACTTCTTCTACGACTATACGGAACTTATTTCGATGCCTTTTGTGACTCCGGATTCGAACATACCACTGGATCTTCTCACACTTGTGTATCCACTCTAGTTATACGTGTATAGTTTTTGGATTTCAGGTTCTTAGGTCAGGGGTTGGCAAACTAGCCCATGGACCAATTCTGGCCTCTGGTCTGTTTTTGTGAATAAAGTTTTATTGGAACACAGAAATTCTCATTCATTTACATTTTGTCTGTGGCTGCCATTGCACTACAAGGGCAGAATTAAGTAGTTATAACAGAGGCCACCTGGCTCAAAAAGCCTAGAATGTTTACTGTCTGGCCCTTTCCAGGAAAAGTTTGCCAATCCCTGTCTTAGGTGATTCTAAGAAGCTTGGCCCTTAGAGAAGTTGAGATAGAAATACATGATCTTAATTTAATCAAGCTTTTGTTGATGCCAAATAACCATAAAGAGAAATGATGCTTTTCTGCTTGTTCTTTCATGAGATAGGATGTGCAGGAGACCAGAAGGCCTCTTATCCTGGTTTCCCACCTCTACCAGCCTGGCATCCCTTTCTCAATGCCTTGCAAGTTAAACTCATTGATTTCTTAAAACACTGATGCCATTGGCAGGCAGGGGTACTGACACACTATTTATCAGATGAATATCAGAGAAGACAACCCTGAGGAAGAAGGGTCCAAAATAACAAGTTTTAATTGGTCTGCAGAGTAAGAGTCCATGAAAAAATTTAAAGGTGGGGATAATCAACAAGAGGATTTAAGGTTGCTGTCACTGTACAACATTAGGTTTGTCAGGTGGAGTTGGGAGAAGATTTCCATTCATGCTCTTGCTGGCAGTCTAGCATGCTTACCCTTAGATGGGTGCTGGAGAGGACCCCATGGCCTAGACCACTGACTGGCCTCTTATACAAGGTGTGCTTAAAGAGGAGGGCTGTGTACTTCATAACTCAATTTTGCTTTTTACATAAAGATAGAACATGTTATTATCACTTTCTATTTCAATCCCAGGTGTAACTAAAACTAATTCACCCTGAATCTTATAACTTGGGAGTTTTCTCTCCTGAGGACTTTTTTGTGTATGTGGTCTTTGGACAGGTTGCTGATAAAAGTTATGCTTTTGCCATTCTTTTAGCCTATTTGTTTCAAATGAGGTGGTTTATCAGTGTCACCTGGAAGCTTTTCCTGAAATACACATGGTCTGAGACCTTTCCTGGACCTACCGCATTATATCTGTGGGGAGAGGGTCTTGGGCACTTGTAGTCTGAAAAACCTTCCCAGGTACTTTTTTTTTGTTTTAAGATTTTATTTATTTGTTTATCAGAGAGAGAGAGAGACTGAGCACAAGCAGGGGGAGAGGCAGGCAGAGCAGGCAGAGCAGGCAGAGGGAGAAGCAGGCTCCTGGCTAAGCCAGGAGCCCCATGTGGGACTCGATCTCAGGACTCTAGGATCATGACCTGAGTCAAAGGCAGTGGATTAACCAACTGAGCCACCCAGGCATCTCTTCCCAGGTACTTTTGATGGTCTTGTTCTCTCCCAGCCCCTAATACTGGGGACTTGCTGCTCCAGGATACAGGGATCTCTGTATTAAAGAGATATGCCTAGATTCCAAATAATAAGAGTCAGAGTGACCTTGACGTTTGACCTGAGGTGTGAATTCCTTCTATTCATGATGGATGAGTGGCTCTATAAGCTATAGACTTTTTGTGAACACTTTCAACACCAGGGAAGTCACAAAGTAGCTTGTCCCATTTTTGGAAAGATTACATTATTAGCTGTTCCAGACCTTGAGTCAAAAGCTGACCCTCTGGACTATCCCGCATTAGACAGTTCTACTCTCCAAGAATGAGAAGCTCCAAGAAGTCAGCTGTCATGTATCCCCTACATACTCTTTTGTACTTTAGTAATTGTGTTGAGTCTACTTCAATTTTAAAGTTTGTGTTTTATAAATCAATCAAGAAATATGTCATTTATTAAATAGCACCAAAACCATAGTATAATTTATATAAGATGTAATTAAATGCAATTTTGTTTTATTTTTTTAAAGATTGTATTTATTTGTCAGAGAGAGCGAGCACAAGCCGGGGGAGCAGTAGGCAGAGGGAGAAGCAGGCTCCCCGCTGAGCAAGGAGCCTGATGCAGGACTCAGTCCCAGTCCTAGGACCCTGGGATGATGACCTGAGCCAAAGGCAGCCGCTTAATTGGCTGAACCACCCAGGAGTCCCTTAAATGTAATTTTAAAGTGAGGGTCCTAGATGCCCATGAACAAACAATGAAGGCCCTGGGTCTCTGATAGGAAGTTAAGAAGGTGCAAGACAGAGGAGAGGATGGGATAAAACGGGAAAGGAGTTGAAGCTATAGCAGAACACAATTTAACATCTTCAGAGGTCTGGTTAGTGGCTGCCACTGTCTTCTGGGGTTAAAAGAGAAGGATTGGACTCTAGTTATACATTAATTAACTATTTCACCCAACGGACATTTACTGAATGCCTGAGGCTCAAGACACTGCACTCAGCAGTCTGGGAAATAGAGATGACCTTGTGAGAAGAAGCAGGCTGTGATTTGAAAGGGGAGAGTTTGGGAAGTAACAATCTTACCCATTCTGCATTGGAGAGCAGCAGCAAGTAAAAGGGAGTCTCTCCCCGACCCCGAAATTAGGGATGATAATATCAGATAAATGATCACATGTCTGATTCCCAGCTGCCATCCATGTCAGTGAAGGGATGGTAGCCTACTTCTACTCATGGCTATAGACATAGCTTTAAGCCCTCCAAAGTGTTACACTGGTACCTGGGAACAGAGAAAGGAGAGAAGGAAGGGAAGGAGAAAATTGCAGTTTGGGGAAAGGGAAAAGGCGTGTAGGTGAAGCCTCCTGCCCCATACCAGGCTCTATGAAGATAAAGAGCCTGTGGTTCCCACTCTTCTTTGTAAGGAAGCCTCAGATAGTTTCCCTGAGGACTGAACAGCTTCAACAAGATCTTTGGATCACACATTCATTTGCTCTTTATATAAGATTCAATTTTAGGTGTTCATGTCTTTATTAAATTGATAAAATTCAGTTTTCTTGAACAGATCAAAAGCTCTGAAATGTTCTCTTTTTCAATTTAATTCTTAGGCAATGAGCTAGGTTTAGTTACATATAGTTAGTTGTAATTTGTATATACTTCACAATTCAAATTGCATTAAGATTTTCTCTTTTTTACAATTATAGATACTCTTGTTAAAAATTCTACATAGTTTCTTTCTCTAAAAATATTCACTTACAAATAAAAGTAATCCCCTAAAATCAGAATTTATTTTTTAAAGAAGGGCTCAAAAATAAAGGTTTCTTCAATGATCCTTTAGCTTCTGTGTTCACTAGTGAGTTCTTAGAAAATATGAATCCATCTACTTAAGTTTCACTATGTATTACATTTCTTTTGCAAATCACATTTTTTATAGATTAATCTCATCTATTTAATACATTTATATTTTGGATTATATTAATTTGAACTTGAATTAGTAACAATATACATTTAAAAGATGTATTATAAAAACTTAGGTTATTTTAACCTCTATTTTGGATTAGTTCAGATTTACTCTATAGGATAAATGTGTACACACACACACACTCCTCTACACACCTATACATACTAATGAGCTCAGGAAATGTTAGCAAATTGATTATACATACTTATATACTAAATATTAGTTCATTTTCATAATTTGCTCATGTGAATTAAATTTCAATTACATTTATGTGGATTTATTATATTAGTCACATTATCACTGGTTTGTCAGAACTTAGAAACATTCTGTCAGAATTTTAAACATCTCGCCTTTCAAATTCAAGGAAGAGGCCTATATAATACTTACCTTTTATAAAATGAATCTGCTTTCAGGATCTCCCTGCGAAAATTAAAATATCGACTAAATCGGAGTATAAGAATTTTCACTTCATTGAAAAACAAAGTTGCATTGGTAATAAATAAAAACTGAGTTTCAAAGTATAATTCAACTACTTCAACACCGACCCTTTGCCTAATGGCACAGCTTTTAAAAATACATTTATTTCATTATGTTTACTGTCTCTAGGATGCTTACTTTGTTACACTCCTTTTCCTTAACAACTTTCCCTCAGTCATTCCTTTGGTTATGACTGCAGAAAGCGGGCCAACCTACAACTTCTGGACAGCGATAATGTGATCTACATAGCTGGGAACCAGCTGATCTTTCTGAATTTGAAAACCAAGGAACAGCTGTACCTGCGAAGTAGCAGTGGTAGAGGAATTGGTGTCATTGGGGTATGCTGTTGGTGACTTTGGAAAAAAAAATCTTTTTGTATCTGTTTCTTCTTGGACCAACCCAGCTCTTAGGTGCCAATACCATAGGTAGTATTGCGGGATTTAGGCATTTTCAATTCGACCATTACAGCCATTCCATTCGCTGACCTGGTCTCTGTGCAGTACTACAACGTTATGTTAATGATACGATCATCTCATTTTGCAGATAAGGAAACTGGAGCTGATAGAGGTTAAGTGGCTTCCGACTGTCCTGCAGCTTTTTCATAATGAACACTTTGTTCCCATTCTGCAAAAATACTCAGATGAAGAGCACAAATGATAATGCAAATCATAAATAGAGATAAGTGCCAGATAAGATGTAGGTATAAAATTGAACATTAGGAGATCAAATATACATTGTACATCCAGTAATTTGTGAGCAGTTGACAAAAAGATTTGCATGTGATTTGGAGGCTGTGTCTTCCTTCCTCCTCAGGTGCCTGTCTCCATCAGTCACCTTCTTTCTTATTTCTTTGGCTGCACCTTCTTTTCATCCTCAGCATATAAAAGCACACTAAACCAACTGGTCTTCATAAAACCAACTTATGTCTTCATAAAAGCACTTCTAAACCAACCATGCCTTGTCTTTACTTGCTGGCTTTTCCCTTCATAGCCAAGTTTGTCTTTTCCCCTCCCACCTCACTGAAATTGCCTTTACTAAAGTGACCAGTGGCCCGCTGAGTAGCCGAATCCGAAGAATACCTTTTTAGTTGTCTCTTACTTGAGCTCTCTATAGCACTTGGCCCCGTACCGGATTTTTTCCCTTGACTGTTTTTCTACTTGGGTGTGATCCTTAAAGGTAGGTGTCCTTAGCTCTGCTCTCACCAATAACAACCCGAGAAACACCTCTGGGTGCCTTTAGAGTCATGAGAGGGGCCCCTGTTCAGAGTAGTCTGTGTGAGACAGGGAAAGGAGGAGAAACACACAGGATTTGGGGCACATACAAGCAGCACTTCCATAGTCGATGTTCAAAGAGTTTTTTAGAAGGATCATGGTCTAAATAGAAGTCTGCCCTGCTCTCGCCCTGCCTCTCAGGTGTGAGCAGCCCAGAGAGAACTGGCAGGTGCAGGGCCCACATCACCACGCCCTGCAGAGGTGGAGGGCTTCCCACAGAAAGCCTGGTACAGATCCAACGGAGAGACTGGGCCAAGCTAGCAGGGGGTAGTGGGAAATAATTTTGATTACATTAGATGGGACCTGGTAGGGTATTTAGAAAGGGAGGTGAGTGGAGAGGTTTTGAAGATTCTTGCTCTGAGAAGTGAAGCAGGGACATGAATGGGAATGCAGAAGGTAAAGAAAGTCCGAGATCCACAAATAGAACTTAGAGTGGCTATCGAAACAGGACCTGGTGAGAGGGAAGAGTGAGGAGAGTCTCATGATTATTTCTTTCTTGATCATTGATCTGTACATAGCATGTGTGCATGGTAAAGTCCCTGCCCCCAGCAAGAATTAATGAACTAATTAGGATTATTGTTTTAAGGTTTTATTGATTTGAGAGAGAGAGAGAACAGAAGTGGGGGAGGAAGGTTGTGGGGGTGTGGAGAGGGACAAGCAGACTCCCCACTGGGTGTGGAGGCTGATGTGGGGCTCAATCCCAGAACCCCAGAGCCCTGAGATCATGACCTGAGCCAAAGTCAGATGCTCAACCGACCGAACCACCCAGGTACCCCAACAAGAATTTATTATATTACATTGTGTGTCCAACAGTACTCAGAATATGCAGGTATTTAAATGATAAAAGGTTCATGACCTCTCTGAATTCAAAGAGTTTAAAATCCATCTAAAGAGACAAGACTCATATTAAAAAGCAAAAAACCAAAAATCTAGATCCATGTAAGTACGTGATACCGTGGCACCAGCTGTGTACAAATATTCACAGGCCCAACTTGAGGGTCCTGAGTTCGGTGGAGGGAAGTCAGTTAGGGGCCACCCTGAGGGGTCATGTACCCTGAGGTCCACATCACCTGCAGAGTGCTGAGAAACAGGAAACTAGCACTTCTTTTTTTCTCCCATTATGTAGATTTGAAATTTCTATTTTGTTGTACAATGATTTGGTCTGAGGTCAGTAGGTGAGGTGTTCTGTGGTCAAGAATGGCAGTCCTTATCATCCTCCTGGACTCTGGGCAATTGGATGTCCATGCGTGCTGGGGCTGTCAGAGCCTGGCTAGTGGCAGGGGCCTTTCCTCAGCTGTCGTCATCACTTCATTTTCCCCTGAAACAGTTTACTATTTGTGGATGAGAAGTGTTCTTGCAAAGCAGTGAGAAACCTGTGAGAAGTGGGTTCTGGGGACATATCAACTATCTTTCAGAAAAGATAGGGTGAATCTGTATGTTGAATAAAAAGTAAATAACTCATTAATTCCATGTGTCCACTAAAAATAAAACACCAAGCCCAACCCCACAGAGTTTCTGATCTGAGAGCTGCAACTTTTTCACTTACTATAGACCAGACCTGGAGGGGTAAAAGATTTGCCTGAATTCCCTTTCAGATTTCTGTGACCACATATCCTACCCAATATTGTTCTGTAAATGGGCATCTAGAAAGATGTAGTTGTAATCTGTTTCCCCCTAAGTCCTTCGTAACTCCAATTTTTTAGTTCTACTTTCTTCTTGGCTTCCAACACCTGGCTTGAATTCTACCTCTGACATTTGCCAGCTGTATGACTTCAGGTTGCTTAGCCTTGCTGTGCCTATTTCCTCATCAAAATGGTGGGAATGATACTGGTAGCCAAACTCATAAGGTTGATGTAAAATTTAAGGGAATTAATTCACATAAAACACACACAGTGTCTGGGACACAAAATAAGCACGCAATAAGTGTTCTTCTCTCACTGAGTGTGTATCCTATAAACCCAAACCTTGTTTCGAGCTGAAGTGATGGGTGTTTACTTGAGTGGAAGAGGTGTCAGCAGGAAGACCTTATTATAGGTCTTAAGGCGCCATGGGTGGGGAGAAGAAAAAGCAACAGTGTTATCTGGGGTACCAAAATCTACAGTGCAACCTGTATCCTCTGAGGAAAGCTCCTCTTCCACAGGTTTAAAATCAGGAGTTGCAAAATGGTAACTGAAAATAGAGTTTATAAAGCACAATATGTGTCTTAAGTAGTCGATTTTTGTAAGAGCCTATTCTTATTTTTAAAATACCCATTGACTCTTCCTGCACATTGGCTTACCAATGAACAAAAATACCAGGAATAAACATATAATTCTGTAAGATTTATACTGCTATCACTTGAAATGCTGACACAAATAGTTTACCTGGGGCATATTTACTCTATTTGTCTCTATGTCTGGCTTGGAAATAGTATATCTTTCTCACTTCTAGTAAGTTTATAGACATTTGCAGTGAATTTGTCCAAGGTGCATTTTTAAAAACTGAGCTGTAACCTACTCTGGAAACATGGATTTTTCTGTACAAAAAGCTAGTCTGATTTATATATGGAGGGTAAACAATTCATCTAATTTAGTTGTTCTCAAAGAGTGGTGCCGGGGCTGGCAGCAGCAACATCACCTGGAACTTGTTAGTGATAGAAATGCAAATTTTGGGGGCCCAGCCCTGATACACTGAATCAGAAACTCTGGCTTGCTTTCTGTGCCTTAATAAGCCCTCCTGTGGTTCTGATGTGTGCTAATGATTGAAAACCATTGTTTTAGCTCTTCTGATGGCAATTAAAAAAAATTGTAGGGGTAGAGATGGTTCTATTAACAAAAGTAAAACTTAAAATGAACATTCCCTTAGGTTTCATTTTTTTTTTTTAAATTTTTAAAGATTTTATCTATTTACTTGACAGAGATCACGAGTAGGCAGAGGGGCAGGCAGAGAGAGAGGGAGAAGCAGGCTCCCTGCTGAGCAGAGATTCCCCTATCCATGCGGGGCTTGTTCTCAGGACCCTGGGATCATGACCTGAGCCGCGAAGGCAAAGGCTTTAACCCACTGAACCACCCAGGCACCCTAGGTTTCATTTTAAATCACATCCATCGCCATGTACTTATCAGATGCCCATTTTTTAGTCTTCTATTGAAGGGGATCCTAATAAATTATAAAATCACATATGCTAAATACTACATTAATGGGACTATAAGAAAATTCTCCTTTTATTATTTAAGTGAGATTTTACTCTTTATAGGTACATCCTGATAAAACTTACTTCACAGTAGCTGAAAAAGGAGTTTTCCCAAAGATTATCATCTATGAGTATCCTTCTTTGAAGCCCTACAGAATCCTTCAAGGTGAGCTCAGTATATCTTCTAAAATATTCCATGTTCAAGGTTAACAGCATTCAGGGTCTTTCAGAAACACTTTATTTAAAGGAATTGTCTTATGCACTTGTGGGGGCTAGCAGGTCTGAAGGTTGTAGGGCAGGCTGGTGGGCTGGACAATATTTATGTTTTTAAGATTTTATTTATTTATTTGACATAGAGAGAGAGAAAGAAAGAGTGAGCACAAGCAGGGGGAGCAGGAGGGGAGAAGCAGGCTTCCTGCCAAGCAGGGAGCCCGATGTGGAGCTTGATCCCAGGACTCTGGGATGAATGATCTGAGCTCAAGGCAACTGTTTAACTGACAGCCACTCAGGCACCCCTAGGCTGGACTTTCTTGGGCTGGGTTGATGCTACATGTTTGGGTAGAATTTCATCTTCCTCAGGGAGAGCTCAGTTTTGCTTTTAAGGACTTTCATCTGATTGAATAAGGTCCACCTGGATTAAAATAACCACAAATGAAATTAATCACCACAGTTCTCTTATAAATTTTGTTCTCCATATAATTACTTCTAGTAGTTAGTTTTTTAAATGGACTACTTTTCAGAGCAGTTTAAGATTTGCAATAAAATTGAGAGGAAGGTTCAGAGATAACCCATAGCCCTCTTCTTTCACATATGCATAACATTCCCCATTATTAACATCACTTACCGGATACATTTTTACTGAGGACTAGTCTCTGTTAGTGCATTGTAGTCACCCAGAGTCCACAGTGTCCCCTGGGGTTTACTCTTGTGTTGTATTCTATGGCTTTAGACAAATGTCTAATGATGTATATCCATCCTTATCATCTCCTACAGTGTATTTTCACTGTCCTAAGAATCCTCTATACCCTGCCTATTCATGACTATCCCCACTGGCAACCACTGATCTTTTTTTTTTTTAAATTTTATTTTTTATAAACATATATTTTTATCCCCAGGGGTACAGGTCTGTGAATCGCCAGGTTTACACACTTCACAGCACTCACCATAGCACATACCCTCCCCAATGTCCATAACCCCACCCCCCCTCTCCCAAACCCCTCCCCCCATCAACCCTCAGTTTGTTTTGTGAGATTAAGAGTCACTTATGGTTTGTCTCCCTCCCAATCCCATCTTGTTTCATTTACTCTTCTCCTACCCCCTTAACCCACCATGTTGCATCTCCTCTCCCTCATATCAGGGAGATCATATGATAGTTGTCTTTCTCCAATTGACTTATTTCGCTAAGCATGATACCCTCTAGTTCCATCCACGTCGTCGCAAATGGCAAGATTTCATTTCTTTTGATGGCTGCATAGTATTCCATTGTGTATATATACCACATCTTCTTTATCCATTCGTCTGTTGATGGACATCTAGGTTCTTTCCATAGTTTGGCTATTGTAGACATTGCTGCTATAAACATTCGGGTGCACGTGCCCCTTCGGATCACTACGTTTGTATCTTTAGGGTAAATACCCAGCAGTGCAATTGCTGGGTCTTAGGGTAGTTCTATTTTCAACATTTTGAGGAACCTCCATGCTGTTTTCCAGAGTGGTTGCACCAGCTTGCATTCCCACCAACAGTGTAGTAGGGTTCCCCTTTCTCCGCATCCTTGCCAGCATCTGTCATTTCCTGACTTGTTAATTTTAGCCATTCTGACTGGTGTGAGGTGATATCTCATTGTGGTTTTGATTTGTATTTCCCTGATGCCGAGTGATGTGGAGCACTTTTTCATGTGTCTGTTGGCAATCTGGATGTCTTCTTTGCAGAAATGTCTGTTCATGTCTTCTGCCCATTTCTTGATTGGATTATTTGTTCTTTGGGTGTTGAGTTTGCTAAGTTCTTTATAGATTTTGGACACTAGCCCTTTATCTGATATGTCATTTGCAAATATCTTCTCCCATTCTGTCAGTTGTCTTTTGGTTTTGTTAACTGTTTCCTTTGCTGTGCAAAAGCTTTTGATCTTGAGGAAATCCCAATAGTTCATTTTTGCCCTTGCTTCCCTTGCCTTTGGCGATGTTCCTAGGAAGATGTTGCTGCGGCTGAGGTTGAAGTGGTTGCTGCCTGTGTTCTCCTCAAGGATTTTGATGGATTCCTTTCTCACATTGAGGTCCTTCATCCATTTTGAGTCTATTTTTGTGTGTGGTGTAAGGAAATGATCTAATTTCATTTTTCTGCATGTGGCTGTCCAATTTTCCCAACACCATTTATTGAAGAGGCTGTCTTTTTTCCACTGGACATTCTTTCCTGCTTTGTCGAAGATGAGTTGACCATAGAGTTGAGGGTCTATTTCTGGGCTCTCTATTCTGTTCCATTGGTCTATGTGTCTGTTTTTGTGCCAGTACCATGCTGTCTTGATGATGACAGCTTTGTAATAGAACTTGAAGTCCGGAATTGTGATGCCACCAACTTTGGCTTTCTTTTTCAATATTCCTTTGGCTATTTGAGGTCTTTTCTGGTTCCATATAAATTTTAGAATTATTTGTTCCATTTCTTTGAAAAAAATGGATGGTACTTTGATAGGGATTGCATTAAATGTGTAGATTGCTTTAGGTAGCATAGACATTTTCACAATATTTATTCTTCCAATCCAGGAGCATGGAACATTTTTCCATTTCTTTGTGTCTTCCTCAATTTCTTTCATGAGTACTTTATAGTTTTCTGTGTATAGATTCTTAGTCTCTTTGGTTAGATTTATTCCTAGGTATCTTATAGTTTTGGGTGCAATTGTAAATGGGATGGACTCCTTAATTTCTCTTTCTTCTGTCTTGTTGTTGGTGTAGAGAAATGCAACTGATTTCTGGGCATTGATTTTATATCCTGACACTTTACTGAATTCCTGTACAAGTTCTAGCAGTTTTGGAGTGGAGTCTTTTGGGTTTTCCACATATAGTATCATATCATCTGCGAAGAGTGATAGTTTGACTTCTTCTTTGCCAATTTGGATGCCTTTAATTTCCTTTTGTTGTCTGATTGCTGAGGCTAGGACTTCTAGTACTATGTTGAATAGCAGTGGTGATAACGGACATCCCTGCCGTGTTCCTGACCTTAGCGGAAAAGCTTTCAGTTTTTCTCCATTGAGAATGATATTTTAAGATTTTATTTATTTATTTGACAGAGAGAGAGAGAGAGAGAGATCACAAATAGGCAGAGAGGCAGGCAGAGAGAGGGGGAAGCAGGCTCACCGCCAAGCAGAGAGCCTGATGTGGGGCCCGATCCCAGGACCCTGAGACCATGACCTGAGCCGAAGGCAGAGGCTTAACCTACTGAGCCACCCAGGCACCCCAACCACTGATCTTTTTATTGTCCCCGCAGTTTTGCCTTTTCCAGAATGTCATATAGTTGGAATCATACAGTGCGTAGCCTTCTCAGATAGGCTTCTTTCACTTAGAAATATGAATTGAAGTTTCCTCCCTGTCTTTTCATGGCTTGATCGCCAATTTCTTTTTAGTGCTGAATAGTATTCCATTGTCTGGAAGTGCCACTGTTTATTCATTCGCATATTGAGGGCATCTTAGTTGTTTCCAAATCTTGGCAATTATGAATAAAGCTGCAATAAATATCTGAGTACAGGCTTTTGTGTGAACATACATTTTCAACTACTTTGGGTGTATACCAAAGAGCACAATTACCGGAGCCTATTGTAAGGGTCTGCTTAGTTTTGTAAGAAACTGCCAAACTGTCTTCCAAGGTGGCCGTACCACTTTGCATTCCCACCAGCGGTGAGTGAGAGTTTCTGTTGCTCCACATCCTCACCAGCATTCAGTGTTGTCAATCATTTGGATTTTGTCCATTCTAAATAGGTGTATTAGTGGTAGCTCCATTTTTTAAAAATTTGTGTTTCTCTGATGACAGGTTGTGGAACATTTTTTATATGTTTATGTGTTATCTGCATATTTTTGGTGAGGCTGTCTGTTAAGGTTTTTGGCCCATTTTTTAATCAAGTTTTTAATTTCTCATTATTGAGCATTGAGTTCTTTGTATATTTTGGGGGACAGTCCTTTATCACATATGCCTTTTACAAATATTTTCTCCCAGTCTGTGTCTTGTTATGTCATTTTCTTGATATTGCCCTTCTCAGAGGAACTTTTCATTTTAATGAAGTTTGGCTTATCAGTGATTGCTTTCATGGATCCTGTCTTTGGTGTGAAATCTAAAAAGGCATCACCAACACCTGAGGTCATCTAGGTTTTCTTCTACATTATCTTCTAGGAGTTTTACGGTTTTGCATTTTCTATTTAGACCTATGATCCATTTTGAATTAATTTTTTGTGAAAGGTATAAGGTCTATGTTTACATTATTTTATTTTTTACTTGTTTATTTGTTGTTCATGGATGTCCCGCTATTCCAGTGCCATTTATTGAAGGGACTGTCTTTGTTCTGTTATATTGCCTTCTTTCAAAAATCAATTGATTTTTGATTGGTCTATATTTCTGTTGGTTTATATTTGGGTTTTCTTTTCTGTTGCATTGATCTACTCTTTCCCCAATGTCACACTGTCTTGATTACTGTAGCTTTATAGGAATTTTTGAAGTCAGGTATTATCAGTCCAACTTTGTTCTTTTCACTTAATATTATGTTGACTATTCTGGGTCTTTTGCCTGTCTGTATGAACTTTAAAATCAGTTTGTTGATATCCACAAAATAATAATCCAATCGTTTTTATATATTGTTAGATTCAATTTGCTAATATTTTGTTGAGGATTTTTACATCAATGTTCATGAAAGATACTGTTTTGTAGTTTTCTTTTCTTGAACAAACTGTTATTTGTTATGTAAATTAAGAACATCAGAAGTTTTTTATTGTACTTTCACTTACTCCTTCTTCAGTTCTCTTCATCTCTTTACATATATTTGAGTTTCTGACCTATGTTATTTGCCTTCTGTTTAGAAAACTTCTTTTTAACATTTCTGGCAAAGCAGGTCTCCTGGCAACAAATCCCTTCAATGTTTGTCTGAGAAAGTCTTTATCTGTCACTTTTTAAGAATAATTGCACAGTCTTTATCTGTCACTTTTGAAGAATAATTGCATAGGGTACAGAATTCTAGGTTGGTGGAGTTTTTTCCTTCCTTTCCTTTAAATATTTCAGTCCATTCTTCTTGCTTATATGGTTTCTGACAAGTTGGATATAGTTCTTCATTCTTCTATAGTAAGGTTTTTCTCCCCTTTGGCTTTTTTTTTTTTAATATTTTTTTTTTTTTTGTTTTTTTTTTTTTTTTTTTTTTTTTTTTTTTTAGGAGTTCTTTATCTTCATTTTCTGTAGTTTCTGGGCATTATTCTAGTCGGTATTCTCTGAGCTTCCTGGATCTGTGGTTTGGTGTCTGATATTAATTTGCAGCAAATTCTCAGTCATTACTTTTTCAAATATTTCTTCTGTTCCTTTCTCTTTTTCTTCACCTTCTACATACATTTTTGTAGTTGTTCCATAGTTCTTAGATATTCTTTTCCGTTTTTATCAGTCTTTGTTTTCTTTGCTCTACAGTTTTCAGAAGATTCTCTTGATCTGTTCTGTAGTCCAGAGATTATTTCCTCAGCTGTGTCCAATTTATTAGGGAGCCCACCAAAGACATTTTTCATTTCTGTTATAATGTTTTTTATCTCTACCATTTCCTTTTGGTACCTTCTTAAGATTTCCATTTCTCTGCTTACATTGCCCATTGGTTCTTGCATATTGTCTACTTTACTCATTAGAACCCTTAGCATATTAATCATAGTTCTTTTAAATTCCCAGTCTGATAATTCCAACATCTGTGCCATATCGGGTTCTGATGCTTGTTCTGTCTCTGTAATTTTTTCTTGATAGTCAGACATGGTGTAGTTGGGACAAATAATTGCTGTAAATAGGCCTTTTATAACTTGGTGGTAAGGTGTAGGGGAAAGGGAAGTGCTCTTTAGTTCTCCGATGAGGTCTCAAATTTTTAGTGAGCCTCTGCCTCTGAACTGAACTTCACAAATGTTTCTGAGTTGTTTTCTCCCCCTTTGGTGGGAAAGGATGCTTATGATGAGGGAACAGAAGGCAAGCTGAGGACAAAGCAGAAGCTTATACCCCACAAATCTCCACACTCCCCCCCCCCCACCCCTTCCCTCCGCCGCCGCCATGGGATATATGTGACATTCCTTAGACATCCCTGGCTGCCTTAAAGCTAAGGAAAGGAAAAACAAATAGTTAACTTATAGAAAGCACAATCCTGCAGGACATGAGTCTCTCTCTGTTTACAAATGCCTTGGCAATCTACAAGAACAAAGCATTTCTATCAATAACCTAGTTTCCAGAAGGACGTGTAGGTACAATTAAATGACCTTATAACCTGCAGCTATTGAAGCAGCAGAGTGTATGTTCCTCCAGGAAGCTCCCAACTATCTTAACGTTGATTTCTACAAGAAGGAAAAGCAATTTGACAATGGCAAAGCCTCTGGTATCTTGTAGGTCTTCTTTAGCATATGAAAGTTCTTTTGAAAACCTCCCTTTTCCTTACTCCCTGAGCCCCATTGTATATAATCAGCCATCCTTCACAATGCTGGTGTAGTAGCACTTTCAGCCCATGGGTCCCGTTCTGTGCTTTAATAAAAGCACCATTTTGCACCAAAGACATCTCAACAATTCTTTGTCATTGGCTCTGGACACCACCCACCGAACCTCACCTGTATTCCAAAACCACATCAGTTAGAGGGGGTTAGAGTTCCTTCCCCAGGTTAGTTAGGCTCTGGTAATTAGTTTCTCTTGAGGACAGGCTTTATTAAGAACGGAGTGTTCTGGTGTGTTTCAAAATGGTTCCTTTTCTCCCTCTCCTTGCTGAAAGCTGGAGGTGTTTTTCTCGTATTTACTGTGGGAACCTGGTCAAGATCCTAGGGATACATCTCACAATATTGTTGGGGCCCACCTATGACTGGGTCCTCCTGGAGTTTTTAATTCTCAGACTTGTCCACACTAAGCCCCCAGCAATTCTTCAGTTAAAACTTAAGGTTGTATTACCCTGGCACTGATTCTCTCTGCTGTTTGGATGTTCCTGCTGCGGTAAGTTGCAAATGCATCTCACCCACCAGTCTCTCCTGTCCTGGGAGCAGCCATTTGCCCCATGTCCTTCCCTCACTTATGAATCCATAAAGAATTGTTGATTTTTTACTGTGTTCAGATTTTTATTTGTTGTTAGGATAAAATGGTGACTTTTAAGCTCCTTACATGCATAACCAGAAATCTGAAGTCCTCCGTTTTTATTTGATGAATTTTTCAGTGGCAAATTTCTAATTACAGATTGATCTCTTTCTGCCATCTAACATGATTTTGTACCCCCCTCCCCCACTTCATAAAAGGGAGTGTGTTCTCATGCAAAATGTGACTAGGATTTCTTCATTTCCCCCCCTCCTGTTATGTAATTCATTCTAAAGCCAAGGGTGATGCATGATTTTTGGATCCTTTCTTTGGGAATTCTTGGTGTTCTTTCATCAATACTTATCACCAAGGGTGCTCACTTGCTCTCTTTCCCTCCTTTTTTCTTTTAAATAATATACTTTTGAAAGTGAAATAAACGTTGCCTTTGTTCATTAGACTCTCATTCATCCTTTCAGATGGGACCGAGCTGGGCTATGCTTATGTGGATTTTGACAGCAGTGGTACCTTGCTAGCCTCTGTTGGCGGCAGCCCTGATTACACACTGACCATCTGGAATTGGAAAGAAGAACAGCCCATGCTGAGGACAAAAGCTTTTTCCCAGGAAGTTTTTAAGGTTACTTTCAATCCCGAAGATGATGAGCAGCTTACTACATCGGGATCAGGCCACATCAAGTAGGTTGTGTGACTGGTACAGGTGCTGGTAGATTATCATTAAGGATATTGTCTGAGAGGATCAGCCAGCTGGAGACATTTGTGCTGATGTTAACATTAGGATAATTTTTAAATGTGTTCTCTTCAAAACTAACTGTAGTGCTGCTTTTCTAATTGGATATGGGGCTTTTATGACTGAAGCCAGTATAGCTAAAAAAGAATTCAGCCTGCTGCCTTCTTACAGGCTTTACCACCTAAAAGAGTTTGTATAATGCTTACTAACATGGCATATTGAGTTTTCAGGTCCACTTTAAAATCTGTGGGAGCAATATTTTAAAAAATTTTATTTATTTATTTGACAGAGAGAGCAAGAGATCACAAGTAGGCAGAGAGGCAGGCAGAGAGAGAGAGAGGGGGTAAACAGGCTCTTAGCTGAGCAGAGAGCCCAATGCAGGGCTCGATCCCAGGACGCTGAGATCATGACCTGAGCTGAAGGCAGAGGCTTAACCCACTGAGCCACCCAGGTGCCCCTGTGGTAGCGATATTGTATGATGGCTAAGTCATTTTGACATCCTAACACAGGACCCTCGGTACTAAATTTTAACAGAGCCTACTCTTGATCTCAGGGCTCTGGCTCTGAACTCCATGTCCTTTTCACTCTTTCATACTCTGCTCTCTTTTCCAGGATGGAATGATTTTGTCTTTTTTTGTCTTCATTCTACCCTGTCTTATGCATTTATTTAACAACCTTCTATCACCATCTCCGAGCTGCTCATAACTAGATTTCCAGTGTCCTTTTTGAGAAAGACATTTTTATCCTAAGTTGCTCTTATTCCAATTTAAACCTGGCTCTCTTCTTATTTATTCATTAGAGATATAGATTAATTGAACAGATTTTAAGATGGAAATTTGGGGGAATTCTCAAGTAATCTGCTAGCTATAGGCTAAACATTTCTCTTTACATTTTCCCATCATTTAGTAGAATGCATGTTTCTTTGCATTGTATCTTTGGAGAGAGAAATCAAATAATTTCATGTGTGAAGTGCTATAGAAGAAATAGAGTATATGGAAATGTATGATCAGGGGTCCTGTCGTAGCCATGGAGAAGGGTGTTGGTTGTTTAAGCTTTTGGCTTCATATTATTGGCTTGTTGATACCATCCATTATCTATTTTATATCTAGTTGGCAGGCCAGATTCTTTTTCTATATGTTCTTCATCATCTGTTCACTTGCTTAGACTATTAATAAGAAATGTTAGTAATAACTAACATTTATTCATCGCTTTTATGTATAAGCCAGTGTTCTAAGAGTTTTTCAACAAGTTTACGAGGTAGGTGCTATTAGTAGTCTCATTTTATACATGAGAGAATGAGAGCACAGTGTTAAGAAATGACTCTTAAACTACACAAGTAAGTCAGAAGTTTTTTGAAAACTTTTGCATCTTCTAAAATGGTATTATTCAATAGAACAACTTTCTGCCAAGATGGAAATGTTCTACGTTGTCCAATCTAATAGACACTAGCTACATTTTTGCTATTGAGTACTTGAAACTGGCTAGTCTGACTGAAACACAGAGTTTTAAATTTGGTTTAGTGTTAATTGCATTAAATCTAAATTAAAATAGTCAAACTTGGCTAGGGTCAGTTGTATAGAACAGCAGGACAAGATAAAATATCCACAAAGGCAGGGAATTTGTCTATTTTGCTCAATTCTGAATTTATATTGCCTAGAACTTTGTCCGACAGGTTGTTGATACTTAATACATATTAGTTAATGAATGAGCAAATGAAATAATGTGTGTGACTCTGAAACATGTAAACACTTGGGCAGAATAAACATAGATAGATAACCTAGATAAAGCCTCTTTGAGATACATTCAGTCTCTTTCTTGTTTGTAGGTTCTGGGAAATGGCTCTAACATTCACGGGTCTCAAGCTTCAGGGCTCATTGGGTCGATTTGGCAAAACAGCCACTACTGATATAGAAGGTTACATGCAGCTCCCAGATGGGAAGGTGAGTACAGCCACTGTTCCACAATAATAAAATCATGGTTTCAAAATGAAAATATATGAAAGCCCATTAGACTTTCTAAAAAGCCCTGCCAATGTTATTAATGATGGACACTATCATTGTAAATATAATGAACGTTTAATTTTGGCTCTTCAGATTATCAATTTTAATTAATATAGTTCTAGGGAATTGTCATAATCCATATGTAAATATCTTTCTTGGTTTTGTTTACTAAATATTATACATGCATATATAAAGTATGCAAGCATTTTAATAATTTAACATAGTGATACATTGTTATTCATCATCATGGAGTTGCAGTGTTTATAATGTTTATCTGTCCCTCCTCTTTTGTCACGATGCTCCGAGAGGACTTACTGGCTCAAAGGTTGTATACGGTCTTGTGGATTTTTCTTTCATTGTCAGATTATTATTTAGGAATATTGAGCCACTTCACAGTGGCACCTAGAGATGCATGCCAACTTAAATCTGGTAGTTTATTCTATAACATTGTTAGTTTATTTTCTCTCTTCCTTTTGTAAAAATTTGTGGGCATATTGCTATAGGATCAATTCTCCATTAATATTGTATTTGGCTTCCTATTAGGATGAGTTATATAGTATTATTTGTGAACATCTCCGTTAAAAGTAAATGCTAGCATACAAATATTACTTTGAGGAACCAAAGGGGACTGGTCATCTACCTAGTAGATATTCTCAATTTGGAATCATGTTGTATGGGAGGAAATCAAAAGCCTTGGATGCTAGTTAAATAAATAAATACATATCCAAAGCTATAAAATGATCACAAATAATTTTAGTTTCAAATTCTGGATAATGCATGAAATTAAAGTAAGATAGAGATTGTTAAAAACAGGCCACAAGGGGTACCTGGGTGGTTCAGTCAGTTAAGCGTCTGACTCTTGGTTTTTGCTCATGGCATGATCTCAGGGGCCTGGGATCCAGCCTCAGGTAGGGCTCTGTGCTCAGTGGAGAGTCTGCTGGAGATTATCTCCCTCTCCCTCTGCTTCTGCCCTGCTCTCTCTCTCTCTCTCAAATAGATAAATAAAACCTTAAAAACAAACAAACAAACAAACAAAAAACCAAAAGCAAAACATGCCATAAGATATATCTTTGAAAGTTTCAGTAGTGTTTGCATTGTATGTAAAGGAGAAAAGAAGCCATTTAAAATGAGAGACACAAAAGGAAATGTTTAGAGTTAGGAATAGTATCCTATATTTGGAAGGCTACTCAGGAAAGAGCATTCATGTTGGCAAAGAGTGGGAAATTAGATTGAGAGGTATAGTTGGGTCCTATGTATAAGTAAGTTCATAGCCAGGCAGAACTATCATACATTGGAAGAGTAGAGTTGCAAATGAAGTTCTATATCAATCTGGCCACAAAATGCCAAATGAATTGAGGGAAGGGAAATCTGGAGTCAAGGGGATGAGCCAACAAGGAAGATGTCACTTTCATTTCATTTTTCAGGACAAATGGAAAAAGAAAGCTAAGCATGCATGACCTTTCAGAAGGGAATGCCGGCCAGGCATGGGTGGTTTCTGGTGGTTTTGTTACTGGACAGAAGAAAGCAAGTCTAAATAGTGACTACTGAAAGTGAGCTGAGGTTTGGTGATAAGTCGAACAAGCAGAATGGGTAAGATGAGTAGACTGGGGAGGTAGAAAAGACTGAGTAAATTAGTCTAGGTGAGAGGGAACTGGGGCGCCGATGAGGAGGAGGCAGGCAAAAACTAGATCTGAGCTTCCCAAGGTGTTTCATGGAACATTAGTCTGCACAGAAGCTCTGTGAAAACAAGACTTTCTTGGTCAGATTCCTTTGTATCTAAAAATTCCTCTCAGTGATTTCTAGTGAAATTTCTATGTTAAAGTCTCCAGAGAGTCCTAGAGAAAAGAAACTTGTTTGATTTTGTTTATCCAAGCATATGTCTTTGGAAGTAGTGTTAGGACAGAAACTTTTTTTTTTTTTTAAAGATTTTATTTATTTATTTGACAGAAATCACAAGTAGGCAGAGAGGCGGGCAGAGAGAGAGGAGAAAGCAGGCTCCCTGCTAAGCAGAGATCCCGATGTGGGGCTCGATCCCAGGACCCTGGGATCATGACCTGAGCCGAAGGCAGAGGCTTTAACCCTCTGAGCCACCCAGGTGCCCCAGGACAGGAACTTTTGAGTGAAGTTTCCTGGTTTAAAATCCTGACTGCTTTGGGTATTTTGTACAAGCCACTTAACTGTTCTGTTCAGTTTTCTCCTTTGTAAATGGGAATAGTAATTGTTAGGGCTCCTGTTGGCCTGACTTTTCTGGGAAAATAAATAACCAACCTGCATAACTGTATGTGGTACCCCCAATAAATGTACCAGGTTCAAATGGGTTTTTAGGATTAAATAACTTAATATATATAAAATGCTCAAACAGCACTTGGCACAGAGTCAATACTTAATTAGTACGACTTATTATCTAATACAAGTTAAACGTCCTAAGAACTAGTGTTTGGTGGTACACACTGGGGAAGTGCTGGATAAAATGGATAAATAGGAGCTGGTTTCAAATGATTATTCTTGTTTGAAATTGGATATTATTATGTTATAATCTGCTGAGTTCAGTAATGGCCTCACAATTTTTGAAACACCTTATAACATTTAATATTATCACTCTTAAAAACTAGAATTGAAAGGATGAATACCCTCCATTTGCATCCACATGGATGGAACTGGAGGGTATTATGCTAAGTGAAATACATCAAGGAGAGAAAGATATTTACTACATGGTTTCACTCATATGTGGAACATAAGGAATAGTGCAAAGGACCACAGGGCAAGGGAGAGAAAACTGAATGGGGGGAAATCAGAGAGGGAGACAAACCATGAGAGACTCTGGGAAATAAGCTGAGGGTTACAGAAGGGAGTGGGGTGGGGGGATAGGGTAACTGGGTGATGGGTATTAAGGAGGATATGTGTGATGAGCACTGGGTATTACATGCAGCTAATGAATTGTTGAACACTACATCAAAAACTAATGATGTATTATATGCTGCCTAATTGAACATAATAAAAGAAATAGAAGGGAGTTGGGGGAAATTGGAGGGGGAAATGAACCATGAGAGACTATGGACTCTGAAAAACAATCTGAGGGTTTTGGAGAGGCGGGGGGTGGGAAGTTGGGTGAGCCTGGTGGTGGATATTATGGAGGACACATATTGCATGGAGCACTGGGTGAGGTGCATAAACAATGAATTCTGGAACACTGAAAAGAAATTAAAAAAATAAAAAACAAAACAGAAGAAAAAAAAATAGAATCTTGTCTATCAAGAGTTTAAACACGTCTCTCATTTTTGACCCAGTAATTCTACTCCTGGATTATGCCCTTAAGAGATGTACAAAGAAAGCTATTATAGGTATATTTGAGAAATTATTAACAATGCACAGCCTAGTTACAATGATGTAAAACTACCCATAATGCTAGGAAGAAATACATCCAAATGTGATTAGTTGTTGTTTCCAAAGTGGCGAATTTTCATATTTATAGTTTCCTATTTTTCTATACTTTTTTAAAACTTTCATAATCAAGAGAGATAAGCTATAAAAATAATTCTCACCTGCCTTTTGAGAGCTAAATATCCATGTATGTATGTTTTTAATGCACATTCCTTCCTTTCTGCATACCTGCCAGGTGCTCTCAGGATCAGAGTGGGGCAACATGCTGTTGTGGGAAGGCGGCCTCATCAAGGTTGAGCTCTGTCGAGCTGCAAGGAAGTCTTGTCATCAGGGTCCCATTAACCAGATAATGCTGGATGAGGGCGAAGTTATCACCATTGGGGCAGATGGATGTATTAGGGTAAGTTTTCTTGACACTAGGTCAGTAGCACCCACAGCAAAGCCTTCCAGATCACCCTGTTTGACCAGATTCTTCTTTCTCACAAAGGTCACTTTATAAAAAAGATCAGTGGTCATTGATTCCCAGGGCCAATGTATTTTAGATAATGTTTTCCTTGTGGTAAATATTTAAATTCTAGTCAAAGTTAATTTACAGCATCTTTGGGGTGCATTTTATGAGGGTCCCTTTTGTTATTTTGATTCTGTTCTTGACATAGTAGTTTCAGAAAATGAAAACCTATTTTAGCAGAACATAGTGGATACTGATGTCCTTTCAAAACACACAGTATGAATGGGCCATTTTCTAGGGACAAAAATACCAAACACTTCTTATTTTTGACTGAGGTTACCAATTAGAAATACACTGAAAAGTGAGCTGATGAGGTTTGCCTATGGCAGCTCCCCTCTCCTTGCTCCTTACACTGGTGAACTCACTTGTCCTCACCTGTAGACACTATCCTGTCTATAGAGTGGGCTAGGCTGGAACATGGCTCCAACATCTAAGTGCTCGTGATTGTTGTCCTACCTCTTCTCCTACCCACTCATGTGTATGTACCCAGTTGTTGCTGGCAAAGCTGGAGGCTGCTGATTTGCCTTGTGGTCCTCTTGGTACATATCCCTACTGGTGCCTTTCATAAGAGAGTGGTAGTATTCTCGGGGTGTTCTTTAGGAAGCATTATTATGAGAAGTAAGACTATATTTTTGAAAATAGTCTGGTCATTCTATGATACCTATTGTGCTTATTATGTTTAATACACTGTTTAAGCCCTATGTATCCCACTCTTATCTTCTTGCCATTGGTTTTTGAACCCAAGTATACATTTTTACATTTACCATATTAAATTTAATTTTGTTAGATTTTACTCATTGTTCTGGGAAATTTTTATGTCCTTTTGTTTGTCATAAAGTATATTCACTATGCTTCTGAGATATATGTCACCCCAAAATGTCAAAATACCAACTGGAAGGAAACCTCAAGAGAAAAGAAGTCAAATACTTCACAGAGGGTCCCTTCATGAACACCACCAATTTCTAAACTGGCTTCTTTTAAAAAATTTCACCCTAATTTCTTTAGTCTTTTACACAGTAAATCTCTACATCTAATCCTTTAGGAAAAACCTACCCCATTCCCAGGAGTTAGTTCTAACCTAGGACTTGGGCCTCTCCCCAACAAGGCTAGCCTAGGAGACAACACCAAATCTCTTTGAAAGCTACTTTCTCAAAGGCTGAGTTATTGAGTCTAGGTTAAAAGGGTGGGGTGTGTCAATAGATTCATCCAGGGTAGCTTTGGTACTTCACAGAGAAATCCTTCTCAGTCTCTCTGTCTCCTGAGGTGAATCTGTGTTCCTTCATGCTTTCCATAGCATTCTGTTCTCCTGTCCCAGGACAATAATCTTTACCTGAATGGTATAGTCTAAATCAATAATGGAACCATTTTCTGTGAAGACATCATCTACATCCATTTTCTCCTCTTATAATGAATATTGTGCTTGAATCATTAAGAAGGCCTATTTCCCCTTTCCAGGGGATCACTGGTAAAATCAAAACAGGGCTCATTATTGTGTCTCGCTGAATAATGGAACCATTTACTCCTTAGAGCCACTTTATATCCAGAAAGACCTGACAAATACCTTGACCTAAAGCTTACATTGGGCAAATTAGAATTCTTATTCAGGCTGTATTTTCTCACTAATCTCCGTATATACAGAGGAAACTATTATAATTTATTATTTTCCAGTTGGAAGCAATATCCCAGGGATAACGTTTTGGCTGGTGTTCCCATTACACCTACTTGCTAATTTGCTTGAAGAAGAAGAAATGACATTTGGAAAAATAAAATTAGGACCTTTCTTTTTTCTTAATTTTTAAAAATTTTAATTCAATTCAATTAACATATAATGTATTGTTAATTTCAGAGGTAGAGAACTGTGATTCACCAGTTTTATACCCAGTGTTCAATATATCACATCAATGTCCATTACCCAGCTTCCCCATCCTCTGACCCCCTCCCCTCCAACAACCCTGAAGTTGTTTCCTATGATTAAGAGTCTCTTATGGCTTATCTCTCTCTCTGATTTTGTCTTGTTTTATTTTTTTTCTTCTTTTCCCCTATAATCCTTTGTTTTGTTTCTTAAATTCCACATATGAGTGAGATCATATAATTGTCTTTCTCTGATTGACTTATTTTGCTTAACATAGTACCCTCTAGTTTCAACCACATTGTTGTAAATGGCAATATTTCATTTTTTTGATGGCTGAGTATTCCATTTTGTGTGTGTGTGTGTGTGTGTGTGTGTGTGTGTGGTGTGTATACACCACATCTTCTTTATCCATTCATCTGTCAATGGACATCTGGGCTCCTTCCATAGTTTGAACGTTGATGTGGACATTATAGACATTGATGCTATAAACATTGGGGTACAGATGCCCCTTTGGATCACTGCATTTGTATTTTGGGGGTAAATACCCTGTAGTGCAATTGCTGGGTTGTAGGGTAGCTCTTATTTTCAACTTTTTGAAGAACTTCCATGCTGTTTTTGAGAGTGGCTGCACCAGCTTGCCTTCCTGCCAACAGTGTAAGAGGGTTCTCCTTTCTCAGCATCTTTGCCAATGTCTGTCGCTTCCTGACTTGTTAATTTTAGTCATTCTGACTGGTGTGAGGTGGTATCTCATTATGGTTTTGATTTGCATTTCCCTAATGCTAAGTGTTGTTGAGCATTTTTTCATGTGTCTCTTGGCCATTTGTAGGTATTCTTTGGAGAAATGTCTGTTCATGCCTTCTGCGCATTTCTTGATTCGATTAGCTCTTTGTTATGACTTAGATATTTAAATTACTTAGTATTTAATAGTTTGTATGTTTTGTATTAACATACAAACTATTAAATATTAACATACATAATATTTTGTATTAATAAAGCAACTCTTTGGGTGTTGAGTTTGATAAGTTCCTTATAAATCTTGGATACTAACCCTTCATCTGATAAGGCATTTGTAAATATCTTTTCCCATTCTGTTAGTTGTCTTTGGTTTTGTTGACTGTTTCCTTTGCTGTGCAAAAGCTTTTGGTCTTGGTGAAGTCTCAATAGTTCATTTATGCCTTTGTTTCCCTTGCCTTTGGTGATGTTTCTAGCAAGAAGTTTTCGTGGCCAAGGTCAAAGAGGTTGCTCCCTGTGTTATCCCCAAGGATTTTGAAGGATTCCTATCTCACATTTAGGTCTTTCATTCATTTTGAGTCTGTTTTTGTGTATGGTGTAAGGAAACAATCCAGTTTCATTCTGCTGCATGTGGCTGTCTAATTTTCTCAACGCCATTTGTTGAAGAGACTGTTTTTTTTTCCACTGGATGTTCTTTCCTGCTTTATGGAAGATTAGTTGGCTGTAGAGTTGAGGGTTCATTTCTGGGTTCTCTAGTCTGTTCCACTGGGTTATGTGTCTGTTTTTGTGCCAGTACCACACTGTCTTGATTATTACAGCTTTGTGATAGAGTTTTAAGTCTGGGATTGTGATACCACTGGCTTTGGCTTTTTCTTTTTTCTTTTTTCAACTTCTCTTTGGCTATTTGGGGTCTTTTCTGGTTTCATACAAAGTTTAGGATTATTTGTCCCACTACTGTGAAAAATGTTGATGGTATTTTGATAGGAATTGCACTGAATGTAGATTGCTCTAGGTAGCATAGACATTTGACAGTATTTGTTCTTTCAACCCATGAGCATGGAATGTTTTTCCATTTCTTTGTGTTTTCCTCAATTTCTTTCATGAGTGTTCTATACTTTTTTGAATACAGATTCTTTGCCTCTTTGGTTAGGTTTATTCAAAGGTATCTTATGGTTTTTGGTGTAATTGTAAATGGAATTGACTCCTTACTTTCTCTTTCTTCTGTGTCATTGTTAGTGTATAGAAATGCAACTGATTTGTGTACATTGATTATATCCTGCCACTTTGCTGAATTCCTGAATGAGTTTTAGCAATTTTGGGGTGGAGTATTTTGGGTTTTCTACATAGAATATCATGTCATCTGCAAAGAGTGAAAATTTGATGACTTCTTTGCCCATTTGGTAGCTTTTTATTACTTTTTATTGTCTGATTGCTGAGATTTGGACTTCTAGTACTGTGTTGAACAGAGTAGTGATAGTGGACATCTCTGCCATGTTCCTGACCTTAGGGAAAACGCTCTAAGTTTTTCCCCATTGTGAATGATATTTGCTGTAGGCTATTTATATATAGCTTTTATGATATTGAGGTATATTCCCTCTATGACCCACTGAAGAGTTTTAAGGAAGGATACTGTAGGGACACCTGGGTGGCTTAGTCAGTTAAGCACCTGCCTTTCAGTCAGGTCATGATCTCAGGGTCTTGGGATCAAGTCCTGCATTGGGCTCCTTGCTTAGCATGGAGACTGCTCTCCCTCTACCCCTCCTCTGCTTGTGCTCTGACAAATAAATAAAACCTTTAAAAGAAAAAAGAAGGTGTACTTTGTCAAAATGCTTCTTCTGCATCTACTGAGGGGATCATATGGTTCTTGTTCTTTTCTTATTAATGTCGTGTATCACATGGATTGCTTTATGGATATTGAACCACCCTTGCAGCCCAGGTATAAATCCCACTTGGTTGTGGTGAATAATCCTTTTAAGGTACTGCTGGATTCTATTAGCTAGTATTTTGGTGAGAATTTTGACATCCATCTTCATCAGGGATAGTGGTCTGTAATTCTCTTTTGGTGGGGTCTTTATCTGGTTTTGTGATTAAGGTAATGGTGGCCTCATCAAATGAGTTTGGAAGTTTTCCTTCTCTTTCTTTCTTTCTTTCTTCCTTTTTTTTTCAAACAGCTTCAGAAATATAGGTATTAATTCTTCTTTAAATATTTGATAAAATTCCCCTGGGAAGCCATCTGACCCTGGACTGTTGTTTGTTGGGAGATTTTTGGTTACTGCTTCAATTTCCTGGCTGGTTGTGGGTCTGTTCA